CAGCTGCATGGGCTGCTCTGGTTGTAGTTATGCTCTTGGTACAGTAGATATGCTTGATTTGTTTAGACCGACCTACGACGTAAACATTTTGAGGCTTTTTTCAGCATGTCGCTGATTCAGCTTTTCAGTTACTTTTATCACTTTTTGGAGCAGGAGTTATAGGTTCCAGAGAAATAACCCCCTTCAATCATTATTCATAGGATAAAAATCTTGCTTCACAGATACACTATATTGCCAAAAGTATTGCCTTTAACTTCAATATTTCTTTATTGAATTTTTTTCTTTAAGGGAACAACAGGGTATAGGAAGTAGGTTCATAGATAAGCATGTCAATACATTATGATACATAACAGTTACCCCACCATTTGGCTGGGGTCAAGTATGGTTTATAAATCATCAGGGACGCCTGCCTTTAAACACACATGAACTTTTAATGGCATCCCAGCTATAGCAGCTTCAACTCTTCTGGGAAGAGGTTTAGTAGTGTGTCTATGGGAATGTTCGACCATTCTTCAAGAAGCGCATTTGTGAGGTCAGGCACTGATGTCGGACGAGAAGGTGCTCTATCAGGTTGAGGCCAGTCAAGTTACTCCACTCCAAGCTCGCTCATCCATGTCTTTCTGGACCTTGCTTTGTGCATTGGTGCACAGTCATGTTGGAACAGGAAGGGGCCATCCCCAAACTGTTCACATAAAGTTGGGAGCATGAAATTGTCCAAAATGTCTTGGTATGCTGATGCCTTAAGAGTTCCCTTCATTGGAACTAAGGGGCCAAGCCCAACCCCAGAAAAACAACCCCACACCATAATCCCCCTCCAACAAACTATGCACTTGACACAACGCAGTCAGGCAAGTACCATTCTCCTGGCAACCGCCAAACCCAGACATGTCCATCAGATTGCCAAATAGAGAAGTGTGATTCATCACTCCAGAGAGCACATCTTCACTGCTCTAGAGTCCAGTGGCGGAGTGCTTTACGCCACTGCATCCAACGCTTTGCATTGCACTTGGTGATGTAAGGCTTGGATACAGCTACTCCGCAAAGTAAACCCATTCCATGAAGCTCTCTACGCGCTGTTGTTGTACTAATATGAAGGCCATACAAAGTTTGGAGGTCGTTAGCTATAGACTCTGCAGACAGTTGTCAAATTCTGCGCACTGTGTGCTTCAGCATGCGCTGACCCCATTCTGCCATTTTACGAGTTGCTGTTGTTCCCAGTTGCTTCCACTTTGTTACAATACCACTAACAGTCGACCGTGGAATATTTAGTAGCCAGGAAATTTCACAGATGGACTTTTTGCACAGGTGACAACCTATCACGGTACCACGCTTGAATTCACTGAGCTCCTGAGAGCGATCCATTCTTTCTTTCACAAATGTTTGTAGAAGCAGTCTGCATGCCTAGGTACTTAATTTTATACACCTGTGGCCATGGAGGTGATTAGAACGCCTGAATCCAGTGATTTGGAGAGGTGTCCTAATACATTGGCAATATAGTGTATAACATACCAGATGCAGCATATCTCAGCCTCTCCAAGGTATACCATATCTCACAACAGTATTGCAAGCATTCAGAAAACTACCTCATGCATGATAAAACATAAATCAAAAGGATAGATTGTGAGCTTATCCTTATAAGCAGATAATTTATCAACAGAAGCAGTGGTTTGACAATACATAGAATAAAACAGTTTTCAATAAAAAATATAAAGAGCATAGTATAATCCCTTATAGCAGGATTATGATGATTCCCACCAATGGATTGTTGCATCCTACTCAGTGTGTCCCAAATAATGCAAAGGTGTAGAGCAAGCCCTAAGGTAAGCCTCACCCTTGAAAAGTCGTGGTTTCCATATTTTGGTAGCTAATTGTAAGCAGGACTATTACTTTTCAGAGTATAAAATGGCTAAAAGGGTTTTTGTAAAACAATTTATATAAGACACCAGCTATTCTGCTGTAAAGGTCTTCAAATAGAAGAAGTTTGCCATTTTCATGGAAATAGGAAAAAAACAACAACTTTCTAACACATAGATAGATCTACTTTCCAGATGCTTGGACAGACAGTATTATAAAAGCATGAAAAAACATCCAGTTAGCTTGACTTGGAAAAAAATGGCCCTTAACTCTTGAGATGTGTGAATTATGTGTGACAAACTAATGAAACAAGGTGATATCTATAAAATAGTTTTGCAGGGGCACACTGATATAACACCAGACAAAGAAGTCATCTGGACTGCACAGGAGCTGACAGTAGTTTCAGTTCCAACACAAAAGGTGGGTGGCAGCCATCAAAATAAAAATGGTAATTCTTGCTGCAGGAAAAACTTGATTTGTGGTAAATGTCAACAACGCCAATCTGAGATCATTTAATGAGACGTCATCTGTTGTTTTCCTATGTTCAGCCATTAATTAATATGAAGACTAACATCTGGACTCACTGATATATATATTTAGGCAGATATGAAGAAATGCTGTAAAGTAAGAATGTTTTCAAAAACATATATTTTAATTTTTAATTTTTATCAATTTATAAAATGCAAAGTGAGCAAACAGAAAAAAATCTAAATCAAATCAATATTTGGTGTGACTATTGTTTGGTTTCAAACCAGCATCCATTCTTATACTTGCACAATTTGTTCACTTGCACAACACAGGGATTTTGTAGGATTAGAGTCAGGTGTATGATTAACTGATTTCTACCAAGCAGGTGCTAATGATCATCAATTTCATTTGTAGGTTGAAACACAGGCATTAACTGAAACAGAAACAGCTGTGTAGGAGGCTTAAAACTGGGGTAGGAACAGCCAAACTGTGTTACTAAGGTGAGGTTGCGGAAGACAGTTTCATGTCACAGGTCATACACCATGGCAAGACTGAGCACAGCAACAAGACACATGTAGTTATACAGCATCAGCAAGGTCACTCCCAGGCAAAAGATTTCAAAGCAGACTGGGGTTTAAGATATGCTCCTTTAAGCACAAAGAAACTGAAGACTGCAGTGGCTGGCCAAATAAAATGAATGCAACCAATGAAAGACACATCATGCTTACTTGCTTACTTCCCTTCATCATCAGAAATGTTAAGCAGTGCCATCAGCACAGAACTGGGGGAAACCAAGGGGACCCAGGTACACCCATCTAATGTCTGACGTTTGTCCAGAATTGGTCTTCATGGAATGACCAAAAATCTATACATCTGACATAGAAACAAGGCTAAGTGACTCAACTACTGTATGAACAAAAACATAGGAACCAGGGTGCAGAAAAATGGCAGAAAGTGCTAGGGACTGATGTTTCAAAAATGGCTGGAGAATGGTACAATCTGGTGTGTCTGCAGGCAACAGTGAAGCATGATGGAGGTTCCTTGCAAATGTGGGGCTGCATTTCTGCATATGGAGTTGGAGATTTGGTCAAGATCAACAGTGTCCTTAATGCTGAGAAATACAGTCAGATACTTGTCCATTGTGTGCCATACCATCAGGGAGGCATGTTATTGGCCCCACATTTATTCTGCAGCAGGACAATGACCCTAAACAAACAGCCAATGTCATTAAGAACTATATTTAGTGTAAAGAAGTACAAGGAGTCCTAGAAGTGATAATTTGGCCACCACAGAGCTCTGATCTCAACATCATCAAGTCTACTTGGGATTACATGAAGGGACAGAAGGATTTGAGGCAGCCTACATCAACAGAAAACCTGTGATTAGTTTTCCAAGATGTTTGGAACAACCAACCTGTCAGGTTCCATCAAAAATTGTGTGCAAATGTACATAGAAAAATTGATGTTGTTTTGAAGGCAATGGGTGCATTTCTCTTCTGTTCAATTCTCAATTTTGTTAACTAATATAAAGAAATTATTAACACTTCTATTTTTGAAAGCATTTCTAATTTACAGAATTTTTTCACATCTGCCTAAAACTTTTATAAATCCAGGTTGCCTCACTGTAACAGTTAATTTTTCTCAAGAAATACTCAACAACGTCATTAAAAACTGATAGTGGTTTATAAGGCTGAACCATACAGCCCTTTCCCAAGCTAGACAAACAGCATACCCAAACACAGGAGGTGGCCATAAATATACCCACAAATCTTCACATCTGCTTTAATAACAAACCACTTTTCCATCCAGACCTGTCCACTCCTGCCCCTTTATAGGCAGCAATGCTTGGCTGGGGTCAAAGGCGGATAAGTTTTTTGTTGCCTAGGGTAGCATAAAACCTAAATACACCTCTGTTGGCAGTCATAAAAATTCTTGGCAGTCAGGAGGATGCAAACCTGTGAACAGTAATAACCTCTGCTGAGATAGCCTCCATCTGCATCAGCCTACAACAGATGAAAGAGAGTCAAACAAAATCATGAGGATTTATTTGGGAAAATAAGAGCAAATATTTGGATGCTGCAAAAACTTAACTTTTTTTTCCAACTATTATTGTACCCTTTACAGAGTAAATATGGAGGCTGCCATTACTAACCTGTCCTTATTAAATTATTAAAAGGCTGGTTCTCTGTCTATTAGGTTGAACACTGCAAAAAATAAACTCAATTTGCTCAACTCATGTTATCAATGTAGGCTGTGTAGAAACTGGTGCATCAGCTATGGCTTCTGCAACCAGCCAATATCCAAACTGTGTAATAGAAGCTAGCATTTCTGCAGTGACTGCAGAAATTATTTTCTTGTATACAGGGTAAAAGATCCATCTGCTAAAACTGTGTTAAAGCATTTCTGCAGTCCCTGCATGAGTGCAGGCTTCTATTACACTATTAAGTTGAACAAGTGGCTTCAATATTTACTTGGTCAAGTATGCAGAACATGAATTCTTACATCACCTTGATTTTTTCTCATTTGCATACTTGTTTCTGGTCAGTGAAAGTACTGAAGCCAGGCACAGCCAAGCAAATTTTTCAAAGGTGTTCAGCAAAGGCATATTTCTTTTAGAACTTGTTTTATTTTAACAATGTTCAAGAGGAGATTGGATGTAAAGAAAACTCCTTTTATAAAAAAGGACATTTATTTTAGTAACTGTAATCCCTATTTTAATGTTCTGCATAATGCCCTCTGCTGAGGATATCTTAATAAATGTCCTCCCTTTGAGAAATTGCAGTTGACACATGCAGTTTGTAAGCTAGTTCTCAAACTCAGTTTTTACAGACCTTTAGACACAATTTAGGCACTTAGGTGAATCAGGGACCAATCAAAGTGGCTCCCAAGCATGTGATTTCTATGTCAGCTATGACATGCACACTATTCATAAAACAGGCCTTCAGCCTGCAGATGGCTCTGTAGATGCCACTGCAGCATGAAGGTTACAATGGGGATATCATTAATACTGTAATCTGCAAATACAGTATAAAAAAATGTTGACTAACATCTGATGCTGAAAGGGTTAAAGTCAATCTTTTAATGCAAACCTTTTTCTACATGTGTTTATTTTACCTGCAAACCATTCTGCTTTTTAGATGTTTACATTTAACAGAATAGATTTTTTTTTATAATGCATGTGTGATTTTATTTCAGAATACAACTCTTTAAGAGATTTAGTATAATGCACCATATTCTATTTTTGTTACTTACAAATACACAATTTGAAATTGCCTCTGGTAAACAAGGCTAACAAGACCAGTGGAGAAACAGTCAATCATGTTCCATAATGAAAAAGTCAAAGACTTACAGTTAACTGTAGTAATTTCCCACAACACTCTGGGTGATACATTTTAAAACCTTGGCTACTTCTGACAGGCAGGGAAGGCAGAGCAACATAAATTAAATGTCATGACAATGTTTATAATGAGAATACAGAAATGAGCAAACAATCTTCTCTTAATCTCATTTAAACTTTGCAATTACCAGTCTGATAGGATATATGCACGTGTAACTTTCTGTGTTATGAACCATGCTAGACTAATTTTGTTGTCCGCTCTCTGCCCACACTCAGGGACCACAGCCAATATTAATTCAGCCTTCGAGCTGAGCACAGCAGCAACCATACTTTGTGTATAACAATACAATTACCGAAGAAGAAAAACCCGTATTACAAATGTACTGAAATATATTAGCTAATATTGTACTTTTCCTTTCCACCCTGTCTGTATTGATGTATCTGAGCAGGTCATGGGTGTGAAGGAGATATTTCTGCTACCCACAACAGCAGTATTCAATTCTAATGAAAGTTTCTCATGAAGTATTGCACATTTATGTATTAGGAAAGTACTTATTCTTTTTAATCTGAAGAATTTCAAGCAGTATATAAATATGCTGATTGTTACCTATACCACTAAATGATTCCTAAAATATATGTATTCTCAATTGCTAAAACATCAAACAAGTAAAGTGATAATAAAGGTTTAGATTAAAAAAATAATACTTATAATAGAAAAGAAAAAAAACCTGTTATACCTGTTCTGTGCAATGAATGTACACAGAGCAGTCCCAATCCTCCTCTTCTTGGGTCCCCTGCTGGAGCTCTTGCCTCCTCCCCTTGCTGAGTGCCCTAAGAACAAGCTGCTTGGTTTGGGGGCACTCATGCATACTTGCTCTCAAGCCTCCTCTGTGTGTTCATAAGACACACAGACCATGCCCAGACACCAGCCCCGCCCCATGCTCCCTCCTGACTTGATGTGATTGACAACAGCAAAAGCCAATGGCTCTTGCTGCTGTGTCTTAGCCAATGAGGAGGGAAAGTTCTGGGATAGCTGCTGTTCTTGTGCACAGCGCTGGATCGAGATCAGCTTCAGGTAAGTATTAGGGGGGCTGAGTGGGGAACTGCACACTGAAGGTTTTAACCTTTATGCATAGAGTGCATGAAAGTAAAAAACCTTCAGGATTCCCCTTCCCCCTGCCACCACCATCACCAGAAGAAAATCTAAACCACCATCACAGTAAACCTTCAGCATTTACAATCACATTAACTTGTTATTGCTATTTCAAAGCTAATTTTTGAAGTGGTAGTAAAAACTCTCCTTTAATGAAACAAAAAAAAAGTTGGCTCCTGGGTGGTTTAAACCATAATATCCTAGTATGCACTGTAGACTAGCACAATATGGCAGACTTACCTTAAAACAAAGCCATCTTGCAGTACTCTGTCACCACTGTCAGGCTTCCATCTTCACCCTGTCTTCCTTCTGGGTTCATGGGCTCCGGCCGTTTGAATGGCTGAGCTGTGATGATATCACTGACGAGCATGCGCAAGGGAGCCACGGCCATGGCGCAGTGCTCTGAATTGACAGCATAATCAGTGTGCTGTCAATTCAAAGTACAGTGTGCATGTGCCAGTGATGTCATTGCTGCTATGAATATCTCCTAAACACCACAAGTTTAGGAGATATTCACTGTATCTACAGGTAAGCCTTTTTATATGCTTACCTTTAGGTGAAAGTTCAAAAGCAGAGTTTACTACTGCTTTAATAGTTTTAAATTAATCTGCATTGGTTAATAAAATGACTGGTGATTCTGTCATGAAGATCCTTGTTCAAGCACTTGTCTTTATAGGGTGGCAATGTTCTATTCTTGTCTTTCAGTTCTTTTCCTAAATTTTCACCGTCACACGAGTTTCTGATAGAGACTGCAAGTGGCCATTTCAGCCCACATTAAGTGGGTATAGTTCACTTTTTTCACCTCCAGGAAACCTATTCTTAGAAATGCAAGCAGACATTGTTGAAATGCATGCAAATAGGAAATTCCAAAATATGTCAGTTGTGTATGATGCATAGCGCTTTAGCAAGCTAGAGTTTACATCTAACTATGCCATATGTTCATAAATTCTTTGGAATGCAGGTTTCATAAAAATTATACTAAAAGCAAGTGAGTGGGTTATTTCTCAAAAAATGCATGATGAATTTTGGGTCCTGTTTCCATGGAAAGGAACACCCCTTGTAGCACTGAGGGGTCAATCACAGCCCAAAAGAAACAACAACAACAATCTGTATATAGGTCTTACTGTAAATATAAAAAAAGCTAATTTCTTGAAATACTTGTAAAAAAAGGCAGAAAAAAAGAGAACTGCTTGTGTAATCCAGTGGGTGTTTCAAGTCATAACCAACCTTTTCTCAATAGTCGTGTTTGAGGAAGAGTTGGTCCTAAAATGAAATTATGCACTGGATTATAGAAGCAGTTCTTTTTTCACTGTCAAGCTTTAATGTTAATTCAATAAAAGATCTATTTTATACAGTATTTATTAGGCCCATATGCAGATCGCTGACTTTTGTCTTGAGGAAACTTAGGTGAAACCATTTTTCTGACCTTGGCTGGTTTTAGTTGTGGTGGAATAAAATTATGAAGCACTGAACTGGATTAGTAAATACATGCCATAGCTGGTGCTCCCTCAGCTTCCATGCCTGAAGAAATAAAGCCTTTAAAAAGTGTGCTCTTTGTTCACACTACCACAATTAGTGACCTTAAAGTGTTACTAAACCAAGGACCCTGCATTCATTATATCTGGTCTCCCACAGTACACAGAACATGGGAGTGCAATTAGTTTAGTAAATATACACTGCTAAATACCCTTTCTCATCAGAGCATCAGTCTTCATTTTGGTCTAGGAGGATGCAGGACCCCTGACCTCTGTCTGGACAGTGCTTATTGGCCCCGTGCTGATCACATGCACTCTCCCAAGAAAAAAAACTCTTTAGCACTACACACCAAACTGAGCATGTGCATAGTGACTCCACACGATATGTCTTATCAGGAGATAAGAGAGGGGCACTGGAAGAAGGGGAGGATCAGAAAAGTCAGGGTCAAACAGTGTTTTTACACAATGCAGAGGATTAACCCCTTAGGTTCCACAGTGAGTATAACAAGCATGCTTTGCTGCATATACAGACTGATCTACTGTTGTAGGTTTAGCAGCACTTTAACAATGTATCTAAAAAAGATACTTGGGACAGCAAGTGCAAATCTTCTCATCTTCTTCTCCCAGTGATATTGCGTATGATAGTCCTTATGACTGCACAATACTTGCTTATGTTTAATCTGTGCCACTAACCCATCAGAGCATAAAAACACATAATCTGCAACAAACTTCCTTTGATGATTGCATAAAAGTGTCAACATGTTTTGGGGGTCCCCTTCATCAAGGCTCAGAAACTGTTCTGGTGACATGCCAGAGCTGGTACTCCCTCACCTTCCATGCCTGAAGAAATAACCCACATGGAAGAAAAATATATTTTAAATATATTTTAAAAATATGCTTCCCAAATATATTGATATATATTTGAAATACTCCAATGTTGGCCCTATTCCATATATTTAAATATATATATATATATACTGTATGTTGAAATGCATTTTTAGATATTACAAAATATATGAAAAATATATATTTTAAAAAAATGTTTTAAATATATTCTTCACATTTTTTTAACATATAAAAAAGTCATTTTAACATATATTTTTAATATATTTTTGTAAATGTATTCCAAAAATTTAGCTTAAATGTATTTTTAAAGACATACAGTATATTTGAAAATGTATTTTGAAAAATATTTTGCATATATTTTGTAATATACATATATATATTATTTTTCTTCCATGTGGGAAAGCCTTTAAAAAGCATGCTCTTTGTTCACACCACCACAATTAGTAACCTTAAAAATGTTTCTAAAAAGATACTCACTGGGACAGCAAGTACCAATATTTTAAACTTCTTCTCCCAGTGATATTCTGTGGATAATTTCTTCCTCATGACTGCCCAATACTTGCTTAAGATTGATCTGTGCCATTAACCCATCAGAGCATAAAAAAAAACAAAATCTGCAATGAACTACATGATAAAAGAGTCCAAGTTACTTTAATGACTGTATAAAAGTGCCAGCATTTTTTTGGGGTCCCCTTCTTCAAGGCTCAGAAACTGTTATGATGAATTAATAGAGTCAATGTAACAGGTAACTATTGGGATCGGTATTTCATATGGCAGTAAATTCCTAAAAAGTATGTGCAAGTATAGACAATGATAGTAATAATCAGAAGCCAGTATTGATCAATTGCATTCCTTTGGGAAGCACCTATGCATCGAACTCTGAAATGGGAGAGAAAATTAGCAGAGTCGTCCATCTCATCAGAACCTGCTGTTAGTAGAATTAGAGCCAATTATGTGGAGGGTGGTGGTGCATAGCTAAATGTTTCATTGCTATGTTCATAGAGATATTGAGGTTGATTTACTAAAGGCAAATAAGTTGTTCACTTTGCAATTGAATTTTCTTCAGAGCTTAGTGAATGCGGTGAAATTTCTCTTTGCAAAGAATACCCAGTGACTGGATGATTGGATGATGGAACTCAGTATAGTTTCACCTCATTTGCTCAGCTCTGAGGGTAATTCCCATGCAAAGTGCAACTTCCCTTGCAAAGTGAACAGTATTTTTGCCTTTAGTAAATCAACTGTATTGTGGCAGCAATGGACACATGTAAGGGCTTAAACACCAGCAAGTTTTCCTCCAAGATTCATCCCTGTCTGTAATATAAATATGTTTTTAAGTCCGCTAGAGCATGAATTAAACATTGAAAAGTTTCATGTTGTGGAAAAACAATAGAATTCACACATAACATTCTGCAGAGACAGAGAATCTTGTTAAATGAGAATAAAATGTGATTCTATTAGTTATATTCACATTAAAACTTGTGTTTGTAAGATACACTGTATTATTCATTTAGTAAGAAAAAGGTGCATAGAATTATAGAGCTTTAAGAATGTTATGTTCCAGCTTCTTTGAAATAGAAAATAATTATCCTTTGCTTGTATTATAGAGGCACTTTAGGAAGATAAGAAAAAAACAAGAACAGTATTTGAAGGTGTCTATACACTCTGATGTTTTGAACAGCAGGTTAGGGTACTGAATAACTAATGCACAGATACTTAAAGAGGAGCTTAATTCCCCCCTCTGCAGTTTTTCCCCCTCCCCTCTTATCTGTATAGCCAGGTTGTGCAAACAAAGCATACTAACATGCTTAGCGATCCAGGGGTGTCCTCCAGAGATTCCCTACTTTGCTGCCGCACACCCAGTCCTACACCATCATCTTCCTCTGGGTGCTGGCTGTATCTTCCAGTTTGTGCAGTAGCCAAGTGATCAACATCAGAGGGTTGGCTGATAAAAGTATGAATAAACACCAGCAGCCCCACCCCCCCCCCCCTTCCCCTCGATGGTGCAGAGCTTGGCCATAGAGTACCCAGGGCTTTCTGGGACCAATGACATGGGTACTCTAGCATGCTGTGTGCACTGTATACCTTATTCTAGCCCAAACCAAAAATTGGGAAGTGTAGAAGGGGTCCCCAGAAAAGGTATTCTCACCTCATAAAAAATATTTTTACAATTCAGTTTTGTTAGAAAACTGGCATTCAGTGTGGAGGCAGATTTCAAGGCTAACAGATATGGTTTGATCAATGCAGTCACATGAAGCCTACATCTGGTCATGCATGTGACTCTGTTACTGTCCTCCATATGATTCAGATGTTTGGCTTCAGCACCTATACCTGTGAAGTTATAGCTAGTAGTAGTCAAGTTCAACTGCAATTGTTCCTAAATGTTGCAGACATTTCACTGCTTGTCCAAACAGCTTCGCTAGCTCTAATAAGTGTCAAAAACATACTCTAGCATTTATATCCACATAGGTCACTTTAATCCAGAAGTTCATTTAAATGAGACTACTACTAGGTATGCCAGCATCAGATTACCAGACATTATTTATTTATTTCAGGTACTTATATAGCGCCATCAATTTACGTAGCGCTTTACATATATATTGTACATTCACATCAATCCCTAACCCTCATGGGGCATACAATGTAAGGTCTCTAACTCACATTCATATACAAGGGCCAGTTTAGACAGGATCCAATTAACCTACCAGCATGTCTTTGGAGTGTGGGAGGAAACCCACACAGGCACAAGGAGAACATGCAAACTCCAGGCAGGAGGTGCCGTGGCTGGGATTTGAACCAACGACCCCAGTACTACCAGGTGGAGGTGCTAACCATTTAGCCACTGTGCTGCCCCCGACATGGTTAAATATATGAATATCTGCTGTATTTGACAGAACAACTGCAGGCATTTATGAAGTGACAATAAAAAAATAATTATTAGTGTATTTTGATCATTTTTTTCTGCAGAAAGACTCATTGTGGGGATAGGAGCCATTGTTCAACCATGTAGTTGGAACTAATTCCAGAAATCACAAATCACATGAGCCATATCGGCATATAGAAAATAATACATTAGGGGCTTTGTGGTAAAGACAGATCTTTGGACGCCTTTTCTATAAGTAGATTTTTTTCCCCACAAAACTAAAGCTAGGATTTAAAAATGAAGCAGTTTTCAGCATTATATTTATATTGTAAAGACAGGATTAAACAATTCTAAATTCCTAAATCAGTCAAACCATACATACTCCTATATTTAAGTTCTGATTTTCATATTTGTTACTTTAAAAACAATGAAAATTAGTGTATATATGTTTGATTAACCAAGTGAAAGCATGTGTAATTATTGATGAATTTAATGTCACAACATTTCAGTATAGATTTCTGATGTGAAAAAAAAAACTTCATTATGTCTTCTCAGTGTCACTTCTCGCTTATGAATCACTGAGTGAATATTTGTCAGGAGCTGTCCAGTGCTGAAAAAGTTTCCTTTTTTTGTTGGAGACTGGGAGCACTGTGTACGTTTTATTTTCGTATGTTTTTGTCTCCTGGGAGTTTTCCTTGGTTTGACTCTGACCTGAGAAATAGAATTACCTCTGTTAATGCAAGTGCAAAGTGTTTTTCTGGCTTGTTGAAATAATTATGTAAAATCTGGCAAGCATTGAATAAACATGTAAAGAAGTTACGCAGATAACAATATATATTTTTTATGAATGGGATCTCAAGTGGCAGGGTGATATTTCTTGTGCTATCCTAACTGCAATATTTACTTTAATCTATTGCTTTCCCACATTTTTAATGATTTGTGAAAGCTATGAAAAAAACCTGAACAAACAAATTTCACTACTCTGTAATCAAGTAACAGTTGGTTAGATAGGCTCACATCTTAAATGAGCTTTTACTCCATCTAGAAAACTCTACTATGAACATGGAAATAAAAGTGGGAACTTTTTGCAGACAAATGTGCATCTCATACCTATAATGTCCGTAATTTGGAGTTTGAGTTCTTGTTCAAACATTTTATTGAATTTCCAAAGCCAAGCAACAAGCATAGGACAATTCAAATACATGTACAGAAAAAAGATGATAAAGAGGAAAAAGTTGCCTTAAGGCAAAAAGGGAAATATTGTTCAGAAACATGTAATGAGGAACCATGGAGAGACATGAGGGAATATTATGAAATAAAGGGTGTCAGGACATGGTTAAGCTCTAGACAGGGAGCACTACTCCAAAATATTACATAAAAAATTCCATGTAAGGCAGTGAGAGAAGGACAGAAATAAGAAGGAAAGAGGGGGGGGGGATATTAGGAAAGACTGGGAGTTTGAGTTGTTAGGCTGCGTCTTTTGGGATAGGCAGTGAGCCAAATTTCTGTAGAAAGTGCAGGATTTTCTGTGATCTTTATGATTGTTGCTCATCAGAAAAAGTTTGTGAATGTAAGTTGCATAATGTTAATTTAATTTGGTTGGCTATTTTGGCAGTTTTGGAATAGATAGACCCAGTGGGGGTCTCATAAATGTTCGATTAACACATTTATAGTGGATTGAATTGGATGTTCTTGTTTCTTTTTTTCAACCAGGTTAACTATGCAACTGTGTAACCCCATAATGTTTAGGGAATCCTGGCTATGTCTTTAATTTAGGGTTATACAGTATCATGCCTGCCCATGCACCCTTTGATACTAATTGTGGACAGTGTAGGACAGGATGTGC